AATAATCAATATTATAATTTAAATTTTATAATTTCTAAAAAATTTAATTTATTATAAAATATTAATATTTTTAATAAATAAGCCCTTCCAAAATTTAATTTAATTAGATGAGCACCAACATATAATTAAAATTACCCGAAAAATAAAAGTTCTTTTCAATTTTATAAATCCCCAAATTAAAATCATGCATGTATTATTAGCGTTAAAAATAAAAATAAAATTTTTTATTTTTCTATACAAAGTAGTGAAAAAATATGTAATTTAATAATGATATTAAGTTTTTTAAGAAATACTAAAATTTAAATTATAATATTACTTGTTGCAAATTAAAATTAGAATATTGATCAATATAAATTAAAATTATCATCTTAATTAATTATTACATTTGACATAGAATTTAAACTTCAAAAACAAAATATTATAAAAAACAAAAATATATATACAAAATTTAACATTTTTCAAAAGTTGAGGGGTAGTTTATCAACATAAAGAATTCCATTAGTCAATTAGTGGAATGTTGCTAAGTAGAATATTTTGAAACAAAATTGATAGTTTATAGATCATTTTGAAAGAAAAATTGTTTCTAAACTAAATTGAAATAAACCACATAGTTAATAGACTATTTGTTGAATTTACTCAATTTTTATCCAAACAAACTGTTAGATTTATCTGGGACTAGTTGCGTGACTGTATAGAGTTTCTGGTTCAGATTCTCCAGCAACTCCAGGAGGAGACTGCCAACATGATCGGAAGCGTGATTTCAGAGCATTCTGTGTCTCCTGAGCAAGCACAACTGCTGGCGATGCTAGTGCAGATTCTTGGGGCAGAAAGGTGTATTGAAGTTGGTGTTCTCACTGTATGTGTCTCTCTTCTCATTCCATGAATCAACCACCTGCTGGTTTTTCTTCCGACTCAATTCGACTTAAAAATGCCATGGTTCATCTTTGTACATTAACAGCCATTTTTGAATAATTGATGAATGCATAGATGTTTTTAGATATTTGTGATTAGTAGTAAGTGAAGCCTATTAATAGAGTTTTTTTCTTTAATTAATTAAAAGTATATCTAAAGTACAAGTAGGATACAAGCATCATCTATTGTAGCTGGCTGGGAGTTTTGAGATCACAAATAAGACCATAATCTGCAATTTATGACGCCTTACGATGTTCTCTGGATTTTCAATCTGATTTTCAGTCTCTTGAAACATGTTCTGTGCTGTCTTGCTTTCCTGCAGGTGTCTTCCTTCTTCATGCAGTTGACTGCTTAAGTTTTGGATGCTAATTTAGATCATTATTTTTCCTTCAGGGATACTCATCCTTGGCCGTCGCATTGGTCCTTCCGGACTCAGGTTATTTAGTTGCATGTGAGAGAGATGCCACGTCTCTTGAGATTGCAAAAAAGTATTATGAGCTAGGTGGTGTTTTACACAAAGTAAGAGCTTGTAAGAGATACATGAAATGTATCACTTTTTTTTTTTTTCTCCGTTTTCTGCCAATCAAAAAAAAAATTTCCATTTTCTATTTTAGTATTATGAGCTGCTTATTTTGCTCAGATCTGTCAAATTTTTAACAATTAGTCATTTCTTTGTCCTATATCTACTGTTTTGACAATTGTAGATTGTAGAATAACACCATAGTTTGTCATATATGTCTGTGCAACCGATACGTGTTTAAGTAGTATCAGCATGGCACTAAAAGTTCATTAATGCCAGGTAACTCTAAAACACGGACTAGCTGCAGATACCTTAAAATCTATGATTCTGAAAGGTGAAGCTGGCAGGTAAATGCAGTAAATGGTTTCAATTCTTGTTCATGAATTGCATTTTCTAAGAAAACAATCTGCCCATGGAGATCACATAATTGTTGCGTTGGAATCTTCCTTTTTGCTTTCCCTGCAAAACAAACTCATATCTGCATATATATAGTAATTTTAATATCTGAGGGTTTGAAGTAACTTACATGTTTCCTAATTAAGCAGCTATGATTTTGCGTTTGTTGATGCTGACAAGGAGACGTATCAAGAATACTACGAATTGCTACTACAACTGGTAATACCCATGACCTTGAAATTTCCATTCCTTAGAAACTTTTGACACACTTAACAGCCAGTGGTTTTAAAAGATGCCACTTTTTGCAGGTTAGGGTGGGTGGAGTCATTGTGTTTGACGATGTCCTCTGGGATGGAAAAGTTGCTGATCCTATGGTAAATAACTAGCTATGATTGCCAAAATATGCCCATTTCAAATGGCGCTTAAACTATAATGCTGCCTTTTGACAGGTAAATGATGCAAAAACTATTAGCATTAGGAATTTCAATAAAAATCTAATGGAGGACAAACGTGTTAGCACCAGTATGGTAGGTATTTTAATCATTTGTGTGTGTTAGTATATCATTTAAGTTGATTCACACACCGAACTATTTTTCAATGCTAGGTACCAATCGGAACTGGCTTGACAATTTGTCGGAAAAAATGATCTCACACCAAATGCTGCATACATCTTGATCATTGAGTTGTTCTGGCATGCTCATTGGATTCACAAATTATCATAGAACTGATATATTGATTGAAACAATCTCTAAAAAGGCTGCTCATCTCTACAAACAAAATATAAATTTGATTTCATTGTCAAAAGTTTGATTGGCTTGTAAGTCCCAAGTTTCCTCCATCATGAGCATGCCGATGTATATTTTGATGTTGATTCAGAAACTTGAAACGCCAGCATCTGATGTAACAATAGCATGTGAATGACTGATTTGGCAAGTATGAGTTGGCAGCAGAGTCAACAAGCAAGTTTAATGTCTATTATTGTTGTCTTTGTTACAATTAGCGTTTTTTATGGTTGCTGACTTTCTATCGTTGAGAGTTATCAATTTCTTCTGTCTTCTTCAGTTCAATTTGCTCTGATCCCAGTATTGATCATTGAGAAAACATAGAATGTTCCTTCTATTTCTCTGAACTTCTTTCTGTTGTAATTCTCTGTGCCCTAGAAAGCAAGAACATTGACAAGAACCCTAGTTGCTATCGAATGGCTAACCCTCTTTGAAAAACCAATAATAATGCGCATCCAAAGGCCTCCGCAGATGCCGATGCTGCACTCTTTTGGAAAGATCCAATCTTTGATCTTATATATAATTCTTGGAGGTACTCTTTTGGATTAGAAAGGAATCCAATCATGGGATTTGAAGGCAATAAAGAGGCAAGGGTGGTGGCTGACCGAGTACCTGGAGGCTCTTCCCTTTTCAGGTACAACTCACCCCTGGTTCAGGTTATCCTGATAGGTCTAGTATGCTTCTGTTGTCCAAGCATGTTCAATGCGCTCTCAGGCATGGGAGGTGGAGGCCAGGTTGAACCAACTGTGGCCAACAATGTCAACACCGCCCCCTATGTCACCTTCTCTATATTCGGGGTCCTCAGCGGGGGTGCTTACAACATCTTTGGTCCCCGGATCACTCTCGCATTAGGCTGTTCCACTTACATTCTCTACGCAGTCTCTTTCCACTACTACAATCACTGCCACAACCAGGCCTTTGCCATTGTTGCTGGTGCCATTCTTGGCGCCGGTACAGGACTTCTTTGGGCAGGAGAAGGCGCCATCATGACCTCCTACCCCTCAACTGCCCGTACAGGTAGCTACATCTTCTTGTTTTGGAATATCTTCAATCTGGGAGGTATAATCGGCAGACTCATACCGTTCGTCCTCAACTACCATCGTACAAAAGCGGAAAGTGTTAACGACGCTACCTACATCGTCTTCATGTGCTTCATGTCTACCATCGCTCTCCTTTCGTTTTCCATCCTGCATCCCAGCCGCGTCATCAGGAATGATGGAACTCGCTGCACCAACGTTAAATACTCAAATGTCTCCACTGAAGCCGTCGAGATCTTGAAGCTCTTCCGCAATTGGAAGATGCTTCTCCGGTTGGCTGGGCAAGCAATTTCTTCTACAGCTACCATTTCAACGACGTCAATGGCTTGATGTTCAATCTGAGGACCAGAGGACTGTACAATGTGTTATATTGGGGTGCACAGATGATTGGTTCAATCGGACTTGGACAAGTTCTGGAATTCAGTTTTGAGAGCAGGAGGAGGAGGGGGTCGGTCGGGATCAGCCCTGTTGCTCTGCTCGGAACTGCAATTTGGGGTGGTGACCTTGCCGACCAGTTGAATTACTCCTACCATGAACTGCCAGACCAGCTGGATTTTAAGACCTTCGGCTTTGGCCGGACGATTTGTCTTGTATTTCTCCCACGGATTACTGGATTCTATGTTTCAGAGCCTTGTATATTGGGTGAATGGAGCACTGGCCGAAGATTCCGAGACACTTAGCAGATATACAGGTTTCTACAAAGGAGTGCAGAGTGCAAGATCAGCAGTTGCCTGGCAAGTTGATAAAAACAAGGTGCCATTGCTCAACTGGTTGATTGTGAATTGGTCGCTCACCACGGTTAGTTACCCATTGTTGGCAGTTCTGGTTATCTTGGCAGTGAAGGATGAGAACAAATCCGCGGCTGATAATCCTCGGTTGCCGTCTGCTCCTCCTCTTCCGAATGGTAGTCACAATGAACGGGGCAAATCTACTTAAACTTGGTATATGGAACCTGTTTCACAGGGTTTATGGTGTGCTGATCCTTGGCGTTTACTGTGTAGTTCTTTTAGCATGCAAGTTCGAGAAACCATGAACGAATACTTTGATAAAAGAAACAATACCAGCAAAATTGAAATGTTCCTTCTATCTTTCCAAGTGCTATGTAAAAAGTAAAGTGAATCAATTCCTACCTAATGTTCTACAATGCCTACAAAATTCTCAAGATAACCAAGAATGAAATTTGTGATTTGTCTTAGCATCCCTTTATACATGGAAGAGCTATTTTCTTTGCTGAAATGTTATCTGATTTCCAAGGGGAACGTATGTATCAGAAACATTATGAAAATTGGATACAATGGTGTAAAAAGTTCTCTATCAACCGTCCATAATACAGATGCTCAATCATTTTCATCATCTTGGGCGTGTCCATTATGCTGATTTTCATCAATAGCCACAACATCTTCTCCATCACCATAATTCACCCATGGTAGCATTGATTCAATCAAAACAACCAATGGATTACGATTTGCAATGTCTCTTGGTGGTGGAGCATGGCCAGCATCAACTGGATCAGGAACCAAGTTGCCAATCTGCAAAGCTGCCCTTGGTTCAACCGTAAAGTTTTGCAGGTTATCAGGTGGAATGGTCGGTACCGTGTCAGAAAAATCCTGAACCAGCAAATGAGCATACCTAGCCATTACATAAAAGCATAGATTAAATTGTCAGACACCAATATGTGCAGATTATTTGCAACTTTAACTAATCTAGTAAGTTAGGAAACCCAAAGACTTCTTTATTCAGATTTCACAATGCTATTTCAGATTTACCTAGCTTACTATCTATATTTTGCCGCAGACACACCCGCAACACGAGTTTATTGTTCGGTAATCATTTACAAACATAGCAAACACGTGTGCTATAGGCAAAAATCAGCAGTAGGGAGCTCCTCCATCCATAGCAAACTAAAGACACAAAATAATTAAACACAAATACTTACTCATTTTTCCCAGATGAGAATGCTTCTTTTCTCGCACAAGCACAATCTTTAGCATCATTTCTATTGGATTCCAGTGACTCAATGACAAGCTGTGCACCATCACGAAGTAATCTTTGCAGATCTGGAAGCCTACATATGAGAAAATTTCTCTCTACATAAATATTAATCAGGTGATCCAAGGATGCAACCCCGGTTCGATCAGAGCGAAAAAGAGGAATTTTTGAGTATATTTGTCCATGCCTGGTCTTTTAAAGGAGCCTTGTTTACAAGCTTCTTAAGGACTGCAGGATGAAGCATCAAAGGCTGATTAATAAGATCAGCAGAAGTAGCCTTTGAAGTATCCTGACAAGCAGCAACTGAAGAGTCCTCTCTCTCAAGATAAAACCGGCAAACAGAAAGGGAATATGAGAAGTTTGGGAACAACCATAAGGAGTTATCACTTTCATATTCTTCAGAAAATCGTTCTAGCCATGCATACTCCCCAGCCCTAAGAGCAAAGTAGTCAATGCAGAACATAGCTCCCAGTGGATCATCCAAATCGAGCGAAAGCAACAATTTGCAAACCTCCAGTGCAGAACGATGACAGCCACGTCTGCCCATGTTTTTCATGTGAATGAAAAGTGCTTTGAACAATGGATTGTTTGCCTCATGACTGTACTTCAACTGGCAGTTACCCTGAAAGGAGGTGAACATAGGATGCCATGTGCATTCCAAGGCATATAAACACTTTGCAATAGAATCTGCTGACATCTGATGCTCTCCCACAAATTTAAAATAATCTGCCATTGTTAGAAGTGAATCTAAGTGATATGGATGACGCATTAGAACACTTGCTACACCATTCAGATCATGAATAGCCTGCGCAGCTTCAAATGCTCTCTGTGCTTGACCATAGGAAGTTGAGTGTATGTATCTACAATATATAAGCATATTGACAATAGGACTTGTTGGTAGAAAGTCCAACCCCATGTGAACACACGGACTTTCCATGTGGTGAAATTTCTTCACCAACCTAGCTAGTTGTGGGTTAGCATTTGCTTTGTTGAAATCATGCAAGATTGCATGTTGACCCATTTACTGAACAAAGAAAATCATGGATGGGTAGTAATGAGGCAAAGAAAAATGGTGCATGGGTGGTTGGATTTTTCATTATAAATATACATGCATGCAAAGGCAATGGGCAAGAAAGAGTGAGAGAAAGCTTGAGAAGAGCTAAGTAAGTGGGTGCCCTTCTGAGAGAAAAGAAAGAGAGAAATTGTGAGAAAATCCTTGTGTAGATTAATAGAGAGTATTAAGGAGAATTTGGAAGCTTCTATACTTTGTAGAGAGCTTCTTGAGTGAGAAGGCTTCTAAATTATTGTACTTTTTTTTGAATAGTGGATTTATTTTTCTTTTTTCCATGGACGTAGACTTGTTGAGAGGTGTATAAGTCGAATCACATTAAATTGTTGTCTCAATTTCTTTATTGCTTACACTTGTGTCGAATTGTGGTGCTCAAAATTCCCAACAAGTGGTATAAGAGCTATTGGTAGAACTAGTGGTGTTGTGGTGAAATGCAAACTAAAGCCATGAAGTATTCAATTGAGCTGTTTGATGGCAAGAATGACTTTGTTTTATGACAAAGTACTGTGAAGGATGTCTTTACTTGTCAAGGATTTGATACAGCTTTAAAAGAGACCACGTCGGCTAAGATGAAGGATAGTGATTGGAGTACTATCCAAAAGAAGGCAGTAAGTCAAATTCGATTGACGCTTGCACTGGAGGTGAAATATAACGTCATTTCAGAGACCACTCCAATAGGCATGTGAAAGAAGCTTGAAGAGATATATGCTTCAAAATCTTTAACCAATCAATTGTGTTTAAAGATGGAGCTATATCAATTGAAGATGGTAGAAGGCACTAATATTCACAAGCACTTATTTGATTTCAACATGATGGTGACCCAAGTAGTTAATGTCGGGGATATTCTATAAGAAGAATAGAAAGCTTTGCTTTTACTTGCATCCCTACCAAAGTCTTACATGCTGGTGGGTAAGACTACTTTGGTGATGAAAGATGTCATAACCATGTTGTTGGAGAATGATAAGTTTCTTAGGGAGGATGATGGTGCCAATCAAAATAATGCTTTGGTGATGGAACAATCTCAGGGAAGATACAATGGATGTGGAGGTGGAGGAAATGAAGAAAGGTCAAAATCTAGACCTAAGAAGGATTATGGTGAAGTGCAGTGTTTCTATTGTAGTGAGCTGGGTCACAAACAATATAAATGCTCAAAGTTTAAGGAAGACTTTTCTAATATGAAAATATTGATAAAAAGTCAAGAAACTAAGGGCAAGGGGAGGCTAAAACTGTTGAAAAAAATGTGGTTGAAGTGTTAGCTTGTGAAGAGTGTGATCCTGAGGTGGAGCAAAACAATCAAAGGTGGATTTTGGACTCTACTGCAACTGTGCATCTGTGCAATAATCCTTCTAGAATTCTGAGTTTGGTTTGGAGGAAGCTTGGCAAAATAAAGGTGGCTACCAGTTAAAAGGTGAATATTGAAGGCATAGGAGATGTTTGTCTCAATGTTCACAATGGAAGAGCCAAGATTCTTAAGAATATGAGATATGTGCCAAAGTGTTCAAGCAATATTATTGCTTTGAGTGAGTTGACAACATGAGGGTGCAAGTATGTCGGAAAGCAAGAATGGCACAAGGTTTACAAAGGTGGAAGACTTGTCTTGCATGGGAGGAAGAACAAGCACGACAACTATGTGCTTGAGCAAGATCCCAAGAAAGGGCTTAACAAGACCATGAGGAAGATGGTGTGGAAGCCTAAAGGGATCTTGGTAGATGGCAAAGAAATTAATAAGACCAAGAAGAAGGCAAGCTTAAACAATGAAGTGGTATTTGATGATGGTTCGAGGAGGTGTGATATTCCCTCATATCATATCTTGGTTCAAAATTAATTTCTATAGTGCACCTAGTGTAAGTTCATCCTATTCTATACTAGGAGGAAACTCTCAAAAAAACAAGATGCCATGATGAAGTGTTCTCGAGCAAGGGGAGCTGAATTATGGTAATGTTGATGTGTGTGGAGTTATGGTTGGTTTCTCCTCCCATGGGGTTGGAGGGGGAGATTGTTGGTAGAAAGTCCAACCCCATGTGAACACATGGACTTTCCATGTGGTGAAATTTCTTCACCAACCTAGCTAGTTGTGGGCTAGCATTTGCTTTGTTGAAATCATGCAAGATTGCATGTTGACTCATTTAATAAACAAAGAAAATCATGGACGGGTAGTAATGAGGCAAAGAAAAATGGTGCATGGGTGGTTGGATTTTCACTATAAATACCCATGCATGCAAAGGCAATGGGCAAGCAAGAGTGAGAGCAAGCTTGAGAAAAGTTAAGTGAGTGGGTGCTCTTGTGAGAGAAAAGAAAGAGAGAAATTGTGAGAAAATCCCTGTGTAGATTAAGAGAGAGTATTAGGGAGAATTTGGGAGTTTCTATACATTGAAGTTAAGGGTGTTGAGAGCTTTTTGAGTGAAAGGGTTTCTAAATTATTATACTCTTTTTCTTAATAGTGGATTTATTTCTCTTTTCCATGGATATAGACTTGTTGAGAGCTATACAAGTGAATCACATTAAATTGTTGTCTCAATTTCTTTTATCGCTTCTGTTTGTGTGGGATTGTGGTGCTCAAAATTCCCAATAGAACTCAAGTTAAACCACATAAAATCATCATAGGAAGGTAAAAAAAAAGAAGGAGGGAAGTTCTTTCTGTAATTGAAAAAGAAAAAAAAAAAGAGGAGAGTATTACAGTTTCTCAAGTCAGCAACTTGCACTGAACCCAGCCCCTGATAAAGACCAGAAAACTGGGAGCATGCGGTAAGGCAATAAACAATAATCTTAGCCCTACCAATATCAGAGAGAATTGAGTGCCACACCTGAAGTAATTATACCCATCCTTGGTTTCCAAAAGTTCCATAGAAAAAGACCCATCCCAGCGAGGCCAATGGTCTAATGGAGATACCAGAACAGTCTTTCTAATGTGATGATTTCCACGCCTTCCTCGCGTATCTGTCTTTGACAACTGCTTTGATTGCTTTTCTCAAATGATTACACAACCTTAGAACCAAAATTTCTCTTCAGCTCATTTTCAGCATTAAGATGTTTGGGATCCACTTGTAATATAGAGCAGCCAGTTCGTTTGACAAGATTGTCACAAACTTTAGCATTTTCTGATTTGGTTTTCACAGGGTCAGACTGAGGCTCAGACGAACTTACATCTAAAGATAAAGTTTCTAAGGCCGCATCCAATGATTTTTCAGATTTATCCGAATTCCCACCCTTGCTTTTCTTCTCCTTCTTTTTCTTCTTTTTCTTTGATTTGTTATCAGAAGCTTGTGAAATAGTATTTTTCATCACAGGAACTCGTTGTTTTCCACCTGAGGTCTCATCAGCAACTTCGGGCTCCTCAACCTGCAGCAAAAGCCAATCGTGAGCTATCCAAATTACATTATCATGACACCTTAGGCTTGCTACCCATGTAAGAGAACTGCACAAAGGTCACAGCTTGATCAAGAGAATGCCCTATCCATCCAAGATAAGTTCCAAATCCCTACCCAAAACATGTCTACAAAGTCCTTTCCATCTAACAATCAATTCCAACAACAGAGACAATGAAACAAGGGAAAAAATTTGTTGGAACAAATTGCTCTGATTTTGGTTAACCCACTACAAGATTAAAAAATTAATGAAATAAAAAAAATACACCACTACAGGAAAGATAGAATTTACGTGGTTCAGCTCCAATTTAATTGAGCCTACGTCCCTTGGCACTCACAAGGAAAAATTCATTATTAAAATAGGAAGATACAATTTGTGGTACTCTAAAAAAAAATACACAATTCCCAATTACACCCAAATTTTACTCACAATATTTTTGAATGTGAGACACACTCAAAATACACTTAGCAAAATAATTTTAACCAAAGAACATGAACAATAAAGAACTAAGCTACTGGAATAATGTCATTTTGGTGTAATGTTCACGTTTGCTATAATGCTGTCCTCCATTAGGGTT